GGCCGGGTCCGGCGCCCACGTGACGGGGGCGGGGACCCGCGGGAGGCTTGTCTCGTAGCGCCCGCTCCCCTGCCCCCGGGACCTTCCTCAGGGACCGCCCCTTTGGCACGCTGCCCCTCCCCAACCCCCCCTCCCCCCCCGCTCCGGGCACCTACACTGGCCACTGGGACCATCCACCCCGGCTTCTGTTCCCTAGGAACCTGCCTCGTCAGCCCCGCCCCCTCGAACCTGCCTTGTCCCCGCCCTCCGGGCTGCGCTCGGAGTCCGGGCCCCAAGGCCCGCCTCTCAGACGACCACGCCCCCTCCTGAAGCCACGCCCCGCTCATTTCACCGCCTCCTCCTGCACCCTTCTCGCAAGCCGGAGGTCCCAGCCGCTTCCGCGCTGCTGCTCCCGGGCCTTTCCAGCCCTTCAACGCCGTTCCCGGCCGAAGGGAATGAAAGCGAGAAAGGAGAAAGAAATTTGTGAGGGAATTGCAAAGAGAGGGAGAATCACAGAAAACCCGTATTAGAGGCACACCCAGCGCAGCAACGCTTCGAGGCGTCCGGATTTCCACGGCCCGCGCGCGTTCCCATCGAATTGAGGTTAGCCTGAGGGCAGGCACATTTCTTGTCTCTGAGTCGCCCCCCTCCTAGGTTGGAAAGCCCCGAGTTACCCTAGTCTCGCCGCTCTCGTATCCCGCGACCTGGGGTGGAGGTCCCTCTAGTGGTTGGCACCAAACAGAAGCTCCGGTGCTCGGTCTCGAGCATTTCCCTGTGCCCAGCACCAGGGTCAAGTACCTTAGGTCCAAGAAAAATGTTGGCAACGTCTCACCACAGGGATGGATTCGCGAATCGGGAAGGACTGGATCCTGAAGATCTAGTCCAACACCTTACCCCCAGTGTGTGGCCTGAATCCCCCCTCCTTGTACTGCTAGGTTGTGGCCCTGCCTGGGCCTCCAGGGACTGGCTGCTCAGTTCAGCTGATTAAAATCCCTGTGGGCCTCAAATGGCAGCAACACCAGGGACTCTGGCATAGTCCCCAGCTCTGGCAGGAGTCGCCACAGCTCTGGCCTCTAGTTCTCTACAGGCTGGAGTGTTGACAAATTCCACAGGACACATCTTTTTCCAACCAAATGTACCCTCCCAGTCTGAAATTGCCAGTAGATCCAGAAGACTTTTACACGTGAACATAATAACTTAAGCCACCCTGGCATATATAAGACATGTGGTTACTGCAGGAACCCGGCCAGCAGCAGACCAAAGGCAAAGCCAGCAGAGGAAGGCTGAGGCCCACAAGAGTTGTGTTACAACAGGACAGCCTTCAGTTCTCTTTCACTTCCTTAAAATAGCAGCAGAGAGGTTTTTGTAGAGCCAGGATGCCACAGTTCACACGAGTTCATGGGTGTTTCCAAATTCTACATTTTATTGCCCCGGTAGACACACTGCCCTTACCCCAGACCCCAGAAAAGTACTAGCCTGTTGTTAGAACTATACAGCCACTTTTTAAAATGTAAGTCAGATGACTTTTGAGCTTGGGGAAAGGAGTTTAAAAGATACTGACATTTGGATTCCACCCACAGAGGTTCTGAATTAATGGTCTAGGAATATGACCAGGAAATTAGGACTTTTTTTTTTTTTTGAGTCAGGGAGGATTTCGGTCTGTCTCCCAGCATAGTCATGGCTTACGGCAGCCTCGACCTCCTGGACTTAGGCTATCATCTTCCCCCCCAATCCCCCAGCCTCTGGAGTAGCTGGGACTACAGGTGTGTGCCACCATGCCCAGCTAATTATTTTTATATTTTGTAGAGAAAAAAGTCTTGTTATGTTGCTTACACTAGTCTTGAATTCCTGAACCCAAGCAATCCTTCCACCTCTACCTCAAATGCCGGGATTACAGACATGAGCTACTGTGTCAGGACAAGGATTCTTAAAACTCCCCTAAATAATTCTTATATGCAGCAAAATTTAAGAACTACTAGTGTAGGTCAAGGAGGTGTTAATCTTCATTTAAATCCAAGAAGAGCCACGCATAGTGGCTCATGCCTGTAATTCCAGCACTTGGAGACTGAGGCAAGAGGATTGCCTGAGCCCAGGGTTCGAGACCAGCCTGAGCCAACTTGGCGAGACCTTGTCTCTACAATAAATAAATAAATAAATAAAATTAGCCAGGCGTGGTGGCACGTGCTCGGAAGGCTGAGGCGGGAGGCCTGCCTGAACCCAGCAGGTTGAGGCTACAGTAGCTGTGATCATGCTACTGCACTCCATCTTGGGTCACAGTGTGAGACTCTGGCAAAAAAACACACAACAAAAAACCCAAGAAGACCCCAGAGCTGAAACACTGACCTGAAAGAAGCCAAGAAAGTGTTCCCAGACCTGCATATTGTCTTGCCCTGGCTCCCAGGAAGCAAAGTGGTATATTAACAGGGGTTTCCTGGACCAAATGTCTTGATCTAAATAAAAGAGTGATTCTAGCTACAGGGATTTAAGGTTTCAAGGTGAGTTGTTAAGGGATAGATGTGCCCTGCAGAACTGTCAATCAAAACATATTCCATATGGAAGCCAGGCAGCACATTATAGGCAACCTCTCCTCTGTGCTTCAAAAAGAACAATGGACACAAGACTCAATCCTATTGTCATTCCACTCCACTCTCCTCTGTGAGGCAGCCCACATTTCTTACAGCTGTGAAATAGGTAATGTTAAGTACATGGGGCAGGTAATATCACATTTATTTATTCATACCCACTTCATTCCACAAAGGGTTTGGGCTCTCTGTAACAATATATTAGAACTGTGGGTAATTACACTGTATCCCCAGATTGAGTAATTCCATTCTGCCAAAGATCTACTCAGATGCTATGGGGAAAAAATAAAATCTGCACTGCCTATGGTCCCAGCCTGGGCTTGGCAAAGACGGGAAAACAGCTGCAAGCACACAAAACAAACCCTCTCATGTGACCAACCTGGAAAGACAGAGGCCTCAGCACATGACACAGACTGGCACCACAGCCTGCACTTGTGACCTGAACTTAGCTGAATTGGACAAACATGTGGAAAACACTGAGGAAGCCCCTGTCAAGAGGTACACCACCCTCTGTGCCACACAGCACGCCTGCTGTGGCAGAGAGTCACTAGCTTGCTATCTGGCTTCCATCCAGATTCCAGGATATTTACCAAGGGCCTCACTGTGTGAGAATTGTTCACAGAAAGCCCAACACAGGCACTCCCTGAAAGCTTTTATGCTGAGGGTATGTAGGAAAATACAACCTGATGAGGTTATTTGCTTAGTGTCACTTTTTTTGTATTTAAAGCAAGAAGAGAGACATAGAGGACAGTATGACAAGATGAGGTTAGAAGTGGGGTCCTCACCCTTAGGTTGATTTTCTGGAGAAAGCAGGTTTTGGTTTTTTTTTTGAGTTGGAGTCTCACACTGTTGCCCAGACTGGGGTGCAGCGGCACACTCACAGGCACTCCAGCATCAACCTGTTGGGCTCCAGTGATCCTTCTGCCTCAGCCTTCCAAGTAGCTGGAACTACAGGCACATGCTACCACACTCGGCTAATTTTTTATTTATTGTAAAGACGAGGTCTCACCAAGTTGCCCGGGCTCAGGCAGTCCACTCGCCTCGGCCTCCCAAAGTGCTGGGATTATAGGCTGACCCACCGAGTCCAGCTGAAAGCAGCTTTTGAAAGGCCTGTAGAAAGATCTTTTGCAGGCATGAAAACTAGCTAAAGGGGAAGACTGTTATTTTTCGGCTGAAATGATGTACACATTGACTATAAAAGACTAGGCAAACAAGCATACATATTTAATGTTTCCTTGAGCAATGGAAAGACTATAGGATTCATAGTATTATCTAGCTCTGTATTTCACTTTGTTGTTGTATTACTTTGAATGACTCACCTAAACTCTCCTCATCTCTAGAATGGCAATTATAAAGACTTGTGTATATCTCACAAGGGTGGGATGAGAATTACATGATGGGCAAACACTTTGTAGCTGAAAAGCTGTATTCAAATGTTAATGTTTTTACTTTATTATTACATCCACCTAGCTTGGTGGAAAGATTGGGCTATGGGAAATAGAGATTAAACCTCAATAAGAAATAGTGTTTTAGTTGGGCAGTGAAAAGTGGGAGAATATCAATAGACAATTGAGAAAGAGGGAGGAGCTTGAACAAAAGGCCAGAGGAGAGAAAAGCCAGTGAGTACTAGGGTGTGTCAAACAACTCTAATTATTGGGGGGAAGAGAGCAGAGTTAGAGTAAATGCTGGAGAGTATAAAAGAAAAGGCTAGTAAGCTAGATCAGAATGCATTTGACCTCCAGGCCACCCTTTGAGGTGGTTGCAGTGGTGGGCCGCCGCCCAGGCGAGGCCAGGTTCCCCGGCTCCCCTTTTCTGTGACAGGATTTTGCAAATAGGCTCCTATCAGGAGTTGCGGGAGGCTGTCACTGATAACAAAGGTGACCTGTTGACAAAAGTGATACGAATACTGGAAAAAACTTGATCTTCTGACTGAGTGGGAGATAATGTCACAAGATAAAACCTCTTATTCCTTTGATGCTCCTATGGACTTCATCAATTTTACATCTTTGGATTATGAGGAAGATTCTCAAAACATAGATTCATGGTTTGAGGAGAAGGCCAATTTGGAGTTTCTTGGAAAGAATGGAACAGGAGGGCTTTTTCAGGGGAAGACTCCTTTGAGAAAGACTGATATTCAGCAGCAAGCTATCATCACACCTTTGAGACCAGTTGACAACATTTACTTCAAAAAGACAGAAAAAGAGAATCTTGAGGAGCAATCCATTTTGTCAAAAGATTGTACTTCCCTGGAAGTTCAGGGAACCATAGCAAGGAAAACTCCAGTCCAGCCTCTGAGAAGATCTATTAGACTCTCTGCTCAGAAGAATTTGGAACAAAAAGCAAAACATCACGTAAACATGAAAGCCAAGAGGTGTGTCATTCCTGTAGTCAGCAGTGAAGCTCCACCTTCTAAGAAGATGAAACTGCAGAAGGTGCTAAAGAGTACTCAGGAGCAGGAGCAGGAGCAGGAGAAGAGAATGAAAATGCAGTGGGAGGTGATGAAGATGCTGAAGAAGAATGAAGAATTCAAGAAACTTGCTTTTGCAGGAGCAGGGAAACCTGTGAAGAAACCAGTAAGCCAGGTCACCAAACCAGTTGACTTCCTCAGATGAGTGAATCAAATCACATCCTAAGAACCAAGAGGACTATAAAGAAGTGAACTTTACATCTGAACTGCTAAAGCATACTTCATCTCCTACCTGAGTCACTAAGGGATGTACTATTATTAAGGCTTTCAACCTGTCCCAAGGTAAGAAAAGAACATTTGATGAAACAACTTCTACATATGTGCCCCTTGCACAACAGGTCGAAGACTTTTATAAACAAACCCCAAGAGGTATCATTTGAGGAGCAAGAATGATGATAATAGCCTGTTGCCCTCCAACTCTTCTGCGACCAAGATTTCCAGAGATCCAAGGACTCCTGTCCTGCAAACCAAAGAGCGTGCGAGGCCTGTGACCTGCAAAAGTCCAGTGGAGCAGGAGGCCGAAGAGCTTGAGAAACTGAGACAATACAATTCAAAGCATGAGAACTTGATCCTAGAATTCTGGAAGGTGGACCTATCTTGCCCAAGAAACCACCTGTGAAACCACCCACTCAGCCCATTGACTTTGATTTGGAAATTGAGAAAAGGATCCAGGAGCGAGAATCAAAGAAGAAATTGGAGGACGAGCGCTTTAAATTTCATTCCAGACCCTGCCCTACAAAGATCCTGGAAGATGTTGTGGGTGTCCCTGAAAAGAGAGTAATTCCAGTCACCGTCCCCAAGTCACCAACCTTTGCACTGAAGAACAGAATCTGAGTGTGCAACAAAGATGAGGAAGAGGATGAACTGGTAGTGATAAGAGCTCAACCTTTTCCACATTATGGAGTGCCTTTTAAGCCCCAAATTCCAGAGACAAGAACTATGGTTGTATGCCCTTTCTCCTTTGATTCTCGAGACAAAGAACGTCAGTTACAGAAGGAAAAGAAAATAAAAGAATTGCAGAAAGGGGAGATGCCCAAGTTCAAGGCTCTTCTCTTGCCTCATTTTGACACCATTAATCTGCCAGAGAAGAAGGTAAAGCATGTGACCCAGTTTGAGCCTTTCTGCCTGGAGACTGACAAGAGAGGTGCTGTGAAGGCACAGACATGGAAGCACCAACTGGAGGAAGAACTTAAACAGCAGAAAGAAGCAGCTTGCTTCAAGGCACGTCCAAACACCATCATCTCCCAAGAGCCCTTTGTTCCCAAGAAAGAGAAAAAATCAGTTGTTGTTCAGGAACCTTTCCAAGCTGGCTACTGAGAAGAGAGCCAAGGAGCGGCAGGAGCTAGAGAGGAGAATGGCTGAAGTGGATGCCCAGAAAACACAGCTGCTGGAGGAGACCAGGCAGCAGAAGGAAAAGCAGAAGAAGGAGGAGGTGACCAAGCTACGGCAAGAACTGGTGCATAAGGCAAATCCAATACGCAAGTACAAGAGTGTGCAGATAAAGTCAAGTGACCAACCCCTGACTGTGCCTGTATCGCCCAAGCTCTCTGATCGATTTCACTGCTAAACAGAGCTGTGAGCTGCAGGCACTGCCTGGCAACAGGACCTGCTTTTGACATGAAACCAGGAGCCATCTTCCTGTGTCAATGAGTGTGAAGAGAACCCACTTCTCCAGACTTTCATCCACCCAAGCTGGAGAGCATGCTTGACACCTGTGGACTCCATAGTTGAGAATTGTTCTCTTATGTTATTGAGGCTAGTCATGAGATTGGGCTCGTGTTCATCTCAGACTCCACGTAGTTATTTCCTTTCAGACATCAGTTGCTGTTTCATATGGGTTTTAACTTTGCCTAGAATTCAAAGTCTTTGTGTCAGCACAGTATAACCTCTATGGCCCCTCAACTCCCCTCCTTTTTTTTCTTTCTGTTTTTTAATTAGAAAATAAAGATAATTAAATCCTAAAAAAAAAAAGAATACCTTTGGCCTTAAGAGCCAGGAGGTTTTGATGAGTAAGGGATGTTGTTGAAAATTTCTGAATGATAGAATCTCATCTAAGTTCTTGGAACAAGTTCTTGACATCTGGGAAAGGATGCATGTGTCTTCCCACTTCTAGACTCTATTTCTGTGTGTGATTAGAGGGATACTATAATGGGAAGGGTCAGTGGCCTCAGTGTCCTGGAGAGCAGCTGCCAAAGCCACAGTGCTCTTCCTTCTGGCTGTAACGCATTACTTCAGAGGCTGCTTTCTCTTTGTCTGGAGTTTGTAAATGATCTGGTTTCCTTCATTCCAGGCATAGAGCTGCTTGTCTCTGGGGTTGTAATGGATCATGGAGTGACTTCTTGGCCTCCTGGGGAAGAATAAATTGGGCAGATCCTCCTCACTGATAGTGCCCAGCGGATCATAAACACAGGTGATGCGATGAGGGCCCTGGCCACCAGAATTGTAGACCACGTAGAGGACCCCACACAGGAGGAACGAGGCTTCAGCATCCTGGCTTCTGCATGGAGTGTCCCATGAGTGCTCCACTCCCAGAGTGCCCGGCTCAATTTTTGTGAGGACCAAATGGCCATGGGTACCGGGTCCTGAATGGATAGCCCAGAGCCCATGCTCATCCACAGCCAGGTCAATGTAAGTTGAGGGGGAGTGCTGGTAGACTAGTGCTCGCCCTACACCTCCTGGCAGCAGCATTCTATCTTCCACAGTCCTCTTCTGTAGATTATATTTGATTATCTCATTAGAAGTCGCTTGGTTGTGAAAATATAGAAAACCTTTGTAAATCACTTGGCCTGTTCCCTGCCAGGAAAGTGTTAGGATTAGCTTCCGGGGAGCTGGCTTGGTGCTATCTTCCATGAACGCCCGCATGTTTGCAAATTCCCAAACAATGTTGTTTCTGGATCCAATTAACAAATACACCTTTGGAGAGTCACTGACAACATCTTTCATCCAAGAACCATGTGTGTCCATCGTCTTCTTCACTATTTTCAGAGACTTTATGCCCATCAGCATGTTGTCACAGCCTGGCCAAGAAAGAGAACAAAGAGAGGTTACTTTACAAATATGAGATGTTTGCTTTCTGGAAAGCTCACCATACCTGCTAAATTCTGTTTCCTTTCAGCTCTAATAGGGAATATTCTCAACTCTATTGTGAAATGATGGTCCTTAGAAGAGTTTCCCTTGGAAAATCCTGAAGCAAAAATGCAACATGGGCATGCATTTTGTTTTCTTGAGATAAAGGGCATTTAAATCTCATCAAGGAGTCAAGTTTGTTCTTTCACCTCCTTATTCTCACTGATTGATTTCTTTTCCTCAGTGTCTAGAATAGTTATTACATATATAGATCAATCACAATTTATGGCATGATTCAATGAATCAAAGAATAAATGAACAAATGGGTCTCTGTTAGAATTGCTGAGAGTCAGCATTTTATTCACTTCAGGATATAAACAGCTATTTGCTACGTCAGAGACCCTGTTCAGTCTCTAGAGCACTTGGGACTGACACTGTGAGAATGACTTAGGTGTGAAGCCACCTAGTTCAATTCCACTTACCAAGCTTTTATTGTACTATGCACTTAGCTTATAATGCTCCTAGAACAATACTAAGTATTGAGAATAAAAAATATAATATCAGGTACCCAATTAACACAATCAGCTGTATAGTACTGTATGTTTAAAAAAAAAAAAATATATATATATATATATATATATATATATAAAATATCAACCTTAAAATTTGAGGTCATCTTCTGATGGAGGATTCTGGCCCTTAACACTACAATAACATTTTAAGAGCTCTACTTATCTATTCATAAATGTGTGAATGCATCTAGTAAACAGACATTTGATTCCTACGAAGAACAATATACTTAGCTAGGTGATATGAGCTGGAGGTGCAATCATAAATCGGTCATGGTTCTTTCCTATCAGGTACATAAATAACTAGAATATAGGGCTTCGAGTGGAATGTTTACAAAAGCAGGATGGAGAAGGAGATGTCATTTGAAACAGAGAAGAATCTGTGTTTGAATTAACCTTTAAAGAGTAAATGGATCTGAACATTCAGAGAGGAGTGGAAAAGTATGCCAGACAATTAACAAAATCACTTTCAGGAAAGCCCTCCAAGATTATGTAAAGTTGTGTAGAGTTTAAACCAATGCTTGATATTTGTTCAAATTAGATGCATAAAATCAAGTACAGTTGGCCCTGAACAACACAGACTTTAACTATGGATCCACATAAGCATGGATTTTTTTTCTGCCTCTATCACCTTGAGACAGCGAGACCAGCCCCTCGTCTTCCTACCCCCTCAGTCTACTCAACCTGAAGACAAGGATGAAGACCTTTATGATGATTCACTTCTACTAATAAATAGCATATTTTCTCTTCCTTATGATTTTCTTAATAACATTATTTTTTATTATAAAGATGTGGGGTATAATTCAGGGTTAGGTATACAAACGCTGATTATGTAGGTACCCTTGTTGTTAATAACATCTTTTCTCTAGCTTATTTTATCATAAGAATACAGTATATAAAACTGAACATTCCAAATATCCATTAGTTAACTGTCTATGTCCTCAGTAAGGCTTTTGATAAATAGTAGGCTATTGGGAGTTAAACTTTTTAGAAGTCAAACTTTACATGTAGATTTTCAATTGCACAAGGGTGGAAGCTCCTGATCCCCAATTTGTTCAGGGGCCAACTGTAGTAGATTGAAGACAGCTCTATTCCTGAAACCTTGAGTGTGGGGCTATGGAATTTAGATTGTATTCTACAGGTGGGAAGGGAGTTACTGAAGTTTTTGAGCAGGAGTTTTAAAAAAGACTGTTCTACAGGGTTAAGCTGGCAGACCTGTGTATGATGGACACTTAGGAGCAAGACCAAAATCAGAGAAATCAAGTAGGAGGTTAATTTTTATAATCCAAATGGGATGGAAAAGGGTCTGAACTAGAAGGGAGAAGACAAAGTAAAAAGAAGGGGTTTACATTTTCTTTTAGCTCTTCACTCCCACTTCAGAATATTATTCTCCTGTCTTCATGCAAAAACTCTTTATATTTTATGTCATGCTGTGGTATATCATGCTTTGTATCTCATGTTGTTTACTCCTCCTAGTCTAAATCATTGACGATTCACCAGGAGACTACCCCATATGCATGGAGCACTTCCACTTCTTCAACTTCATGGAAACATACTTTTAAACCACTTTAAGCCAGGCACGGTGGCTCATGCCTGTAATCCCAGCACTTTGGGAAGCAGAGGCAAGAGGACTGTCTGAGCCCAGGGTTCGAGACCAGCATGGGCAATTTGGCAAGACTTCCTTTCTACAATAAGTCAAAAAATTACCTGGACGTGGTGGCACACGCCTGTAGTTCCAGCTACTTGGAAGGCTGAGGCGGAAGGATCACCTAAGCCCAGACAGTCAAGGCTGCAGTGGCTTCGACTCAGAAAGAAAAACAACAAACCACTTTAGCAACCCCCTACAATGGCCATATTCTGAATCCTCATTCCCTAGGATTGTTTCATATCAGATTTCTAAAACTCCAACATCCCACACTGCAACAATATCTTATCCTCCCATTTCTTACTTCTTTGCTCTTATCTCTTCTTCTATTTCCTCATGCCCTGTAGTCCCTTGGCCTCTGCTTTCTCCCAGACCATCAGCCCTCTCTTGACCTCACTTCTTCTCCTATCCAGACTAGACCCCTGTAATAGCTCTCTCACCAGCACCTTCACCTCATCAACCCCTAGTTATTCCACAATAACCACCTAGCAAAAGTCCCTGGTCTTAGATCAGTTCAAATATTTGTCTCTGCTCTGGAGAGTTGCGTGTTGGTGAAGAAAAATTCACTATGGTGCATATTGGTGCCACTACACATAAGGAGTCTCTGTAGCTATCTTATATCTTCTCCTCCCCACTACCCTTGCCAGTCTCTTCAATAACAGCAGGTTGACTCCTTTGAAAAAATAAATACCATTAGACATGAACTCTCTCTACTTAATGTCCCTCGCTTACACACTTTTCTTTAGTTGTTCCTATCAATGCTTCCCTCCCACACATCTTAGAAAAAGCTATGTCATTTTTCTTGTCCAAGACTAATACATTCACTATGCTCTGATCTCATCCTTTCCTGGCTTCTTCTAGACTTCTTTGATGAGTTATATCCTCTATGTTATATTTAATTTCTCCTTTGTAATTAGCTTTTTATCCTAAGCTTGTAAGCATCTTGCCTATATTTAAAAAAAAAAAATCTCCCTCAGTTAGGCACCCTTTTTTAGTTACTTCATTATCTCTTTTCATTATTTTATAGCTATCTTCTCCTACAGAGTAGTCTATATCTGTGTCTTCACCTCCCATTCTTTCACTTTACCATAATTCCACAGAAATTACTCTTCATAATGCTACCAGGTACCTGCTAACTGAAAACTGAAATAGACCTTTTATGTTCATATTTTACTTGATCTTTCAGGAGCATGACAACTTTGATCAGTTCCTCCTTCTTGAAGATGTCTTCTTCCTTGACCTTTGTGTCACCACTGTCTGTGTGTGCCTCCTGCAGTTTCCTCCCTGACTGCATATGGCAGAGAAAATGCTGTGCCCATAAAATGTCATTTCATTTTCCTCTTCCTAGTTACACATGAAACTACATTTCACAGCCTCCTTTGTAGTTAAGCTGCATCTGTTGACTGTGTTCCGCCCAATAGGCTGTGGACAAGAGTGATGCTGTAAGCCATTTCCACCTGGTCCATAAATAAATCTGCTGTCTTCCAGATGACCTTGGAGTCTTGAAATTCTTATAATGACCAAGTTAAGAGGGATATGGATCAAGATGAGATCAGCTCTGCTGGTCATTTCAGGAAAAGTGGGTCATCAATTCTAATTTTGGACTTCTCGTTGAGATTTCCCTGTAAGGTCATCTGTTGTGACGTGAGCAGTGTCATGGAAGCAAGGACTGGTGGTCCTTCTAGGAGCATGAGAAGCCCTGCAGGTCTCCCTCAAGTCCTGCTGAGGTCTTTTTTAAAGGTAGGAAAGAGTAGTCTTTTTTTTTTGAGTTGGAGTCTCACTCTGTCACACAGGCTGGAATGCAGTGGTATGTTCACAGCCACCATAGCCTCAACCTGCTGGGCTCAGGTGATCCTTCCACCTCAGCCTTCCAGGTAACTGGAACTACAGGCATATGCCACCATGCCCGGCTAATTTTTTTTTTTACTTATTGTAGAGATGAAGTTTCGCTAAGTTCCCCAGGCTGGTCTTGAACCCGTGGGCTCAGGCAATCCTCTCACCTCAGCCTCCCAAATTGCTGAGATTATAGGTATGAGCTATCGCACTCAGCCAAGAGAAGTCTTAATAAGAGCATAGGAAAACTGGGCTTTCCCTCTTTGACTGCTGAGTGTGAGGTGGTGGAATGATCATGGGATACAGAGGTAGTCTTTAAAGGAGAACTGAATACTCTGAGGAGCCCCCTCAAATTCTTCTTTGGAAGAAGCTGGATGTGCCAGCAGGTTGCCTTTGTTTGTCTGTTTGTTTTTTAGTTGGAGTCTCACTCTGTCACCCAGGTTGGAGCGCAGTGGCATACTCATGACCACTCCAGCATCGACCTGCTGGGCTCTGGTGATCCTTTCACCTCAGCCTTCCAAATAGCCAGAGCTACAGGCACATGCTATCATGCCCAGCTAATATTTTCTTTTTTTGATGTATTGTAGAGACGAGGTCTCACCAAGTTGCGTAGGTGCAGCAGGGGCCCCATGGCTCCGGGTTACTCTTAGTGATGCTGGTGTTTTTTTGTTGTTTGTTTTTTTGCACTGGAGTCTCATTCTGTCACCGAGGCTGGAGTGCAGTGGCACACTTGACCACAGCCTTGAACTGCTGGGCTCAGGTGATCCTTCTGCCTCAGCCTCCTAAGTAGCTGGAACCACAGATGTGCGCTACCACACCACCCGGCTAATTTTTTTTTTTTTTTTATTTACTGTAGAGACAAGGTCTCGCCAAGTTGCCTAGGTTGGTCTCAAACACCACGGGC